GGGGAGGGGGCGGCGCGAAAGTTCGGCAACACTGCTGCCGTCGAGTCGGGAGTCGCTCACCCTGCCCCTGTCCCCTCCTCACCCGGGGCGCTCTGCCCCTGATCCGGGCCGCGACGGCTCGAGCACACTGGGGCGAACCCGCTCCTTGGTCCGCGACGACATCCTCGGTCTGGCACGGCGAGACCCCACCCCGTCACTAATTCCGTGGCGGGGCTCAGGTGACCTGGGTCAGAGGAGACTCACCCGGCCGCAAGGTGGGGGAGGAGCCCCGGAGGGCGTGGCCGACCGGGGAGGGCCGCAGGACGCGGACTGGCAGCCCGTGCTCGGGTGGCATCTTCGCGGGCCACGCGGCGTCCACGCTCCCCGCAAGGTAGAGAAGGCGGATGCGGAGGTGTTAAGGGCGGGGACGAACCCCGCCCACTCGCTGTCCCGCTCCAGTGCCCGGGCACGTTTCAAATCCAGGGGGGAGGCTACGGGATAGTAGTTGGCAAAGAGGGGCCACTCAGTCTTTCTCGGGGGTTTAAGGTGGTGAGCTTCGCCAGGCCCCGCGCCCCCAGCTCAGGACGGACAAGTCCTGACAGTGGATTCGTGCTGCCAAAGTGCTCTCCTCCTGTGAAAGAGCTGCCAGAGCGGTCACAGTTTTGTTCCCCCTTTCTGGACAATTCAACTGTGACAGGCGAGGAGCATTAACTTTACTTCAGTGGAATTTCATAAACAAGTGCATTCAGTCGTGGATTGGGGATATAGCTCAGCAGTGGAGCACTTGCAGAGCATGTGCTAAGTAAGAGCCGAGGTTCAATGCCCAGCACGGCAACAAAGCCAGCCACAAAAATCAGGCAGCTGCCTAGGCCTCCTTAGCCACGACCCTGTGGTGAGCCTTGTTGTACCCTCTAGCTGCAACCTGCACCTTCAAACTCAGCAGCCAGGGTCCACATGGAGGATGAGAAGGGGCCCAGAACTCACTGCGGGAGGGGTGCAGCCACACAGCAGGGCCGCGCCTGGCAGATGCTGCTTCCCTCAGCGCAGGGGCTGCAGCCGCAGCGCCAGGAGCGGGCAGGGTAACCACCCCCCGCCAAGCCCACAACCACACACAGGGCAGCAAGAGTGGCAGTCAGGGTCCGTATTTTCTTTCATATCTCTGTAACCCAAGTTTGTCTTCTGCATCTGGACATACATGTGTGGGTCCCTGGGCTCTGGTAACCCCCTAGGTGCCAACTGTGCCCTTGCCAGGCTGTCTGCCCAGCACCTTCCTTCTTCCATCTGTCCTTGGGCTGCTTCAGGGCCATGGCCATTCCGGGGTCACAGAGGACACATGCAGTGGGCACAGATACTAGCTGGCAGGCTCTGAGCTCCTCACCCTGAGCCAGTGAAAGGGGAGCCATCCAGGGGGAAGGCTGCACCTTGACCCTCTCTTGCTCTTCGACACCTGCCTGCTTGGATGCTCTCCATCCTAGGAGACTTGGCCTGGTGTGCCAGCCTTTACAGATGCAGAGCTTGGGGCCTGAAGCAGGGACTCAGCTGGGACCCTCCCTCTAGATTTAGGAATGGGGCTGCGACTGCTGAGCCAGGTAGAATGTGAGGAAGGCAGGGTCCCTTCTCTCATCCTTTCTGAACAAGGATGTGGATGGTACAGGAAAGTAGAAGAGGTCTGGCTTGGTGGCTCATGCCTATAATCTCAGCACTCAGGAGGCTGAGGCAGAAGGATAGCCTCAAATTCAAGGATAGCCAGGATTACATAGTGAGACTTTGTCTCAAAAAAACCAAACAGAAGGTGCAAAGGCAAGATAAGGAATGTGCTTTTTGCTTTAATGTCTGTTGAATAAGTTGATGGGAAAAAGCCAAGTGTGGAGACCAGACTCCTGCAAAGAGCCCAAGCCCAGCCTTCTGCACTGGAGCCTCGGTCTCTTCCAGAGCTGCGGGAGTTCTAGCGGACTGGCTGTGCAGGGGAGGACGGCACCTGATCCTTCTGGGTTTGGGACGGGCAGAGGAGAAAGAACTATAAGCTGCTTCTTGCTGGTGTTGGTCCCACAGCTGAGTCCTGGGTACCGCTGTTCTTTCATGGAGAAAGTCCCTGCCCTCCGGTGGCGTCCCAGCTGATAGGTCAAGGCTGCCGCCTTGCTCCCAGGGATACTTCATGCTCAGGATACCTCTCCCAGTGCTCAGGCCAGGCAGCACCTCTCAGTGCAACATGGGCTCCAAGGCTGAGTCTTGCTTGTTTTGGGAGGTGGCCTCCAGTGAAGAGCTTAGGGCCTTCTCGCTCTCAGAGCTAGCTGCCCGCCTTCTTCATGCAGTGGAAAAGGTTACAGAAGAACTCATACCAGAAAAACACAAAGCCTGTGGAGAGGGCAGCCTTTAGCATGCTTGGGGACAGACCCTTGAAGAAGCCATGGGTGCCTTCTTCTCGCAGCACCTGCTTGGTGCAATCCAGGAGGCCCCTGTAGCTCCGCACCTGGGGAGAGGACGGACAAGTTGAAGAGGAAGCTGGCAAAGATAGGGATGCACCTGGCATATCACAGCTCCTAGTATTTGCCAAGTGAAGGAAAGAACACAAAACAGACACCTTCATTCTGTCTATTCCACATGGGCTAAATTAGATTGAACGGACGAAATACCACGAAGTCAGCAGCTGGACAGAGCTTCCTGCTGAGGAGGCTTGGGATCACTGTGGTTCTGAAGGACCCAGTGACAATGCCAGATCTCTCTCTCCAGAGGTGTCTTGGATTCTTTATCCTATTCCCATCCACCTCCCAGGCAGGTCTGAATCTCGCCCTTGCTAACTCAGTGTAACCAGTGCTGGACCTTCAGCCTGGCCTCCCTGCCTCCCCTCATCACCAACTAGTGCCAGATCCATGTCCCCCGTAGCACCTTGCTCCCCTCTAAAAACTCCAGTAACCCCTGATGGTGACATCACAGAATCAAGGCCAAGTTCTCCGGCCTGGTGTTGGAGGCACACCACCAGTGGCCTCAACCTCTCTCCCTGACCTTGGCTCCCACTGGTCTTTCCAGAGCCTCCTCTGCTCGCCCCAACTGCTGGCCAGACTAGCACACCAGTCTTCGTTAGGAACAGGGCCTCCTTTGCTGGGTGTGGTGGTGCATGTCTCTAATCCCAGTAGTCTGCATGCAGGAAGATCACCAGAGGTCAAGGCCAGCCTGGGCTATATACTGAATTCAAGATCAGGCTGCACTACACAGTGAGACCCTGTCTCAAAAAAAAAAAAGAGCAGGGCCTCCCTCCTCCATCCTGGATGCTGTCCCTGTCTAAATTCAAACTGTCTTCAGGGCGAGTCGGTGAATGAAAAGGGGAGGTTACAAAGTCTTGCATTCGGTGTAATGCACACTTGTTAAAATGCACACCTGTGTTTATGCAAAGAAACAAAACTGGAGAGGACAGGCTGGGCATGCAGGGGCCAGTGCTGCCCACCGGCCAGGAGCTGGATGCAGGTCCCTTCATGTGCCCTGTGAGCGCCAGGGCCACAGCCATCTGTGCACAATGGCTCACCTGGCCGAAGGCAGCCCTGGCGTGCTCAAACCCGCCAACCTGCAGCCGTTTCTTGAAGAGGTCCAGGGGATATGTAAGGGTCTTGCTGATGATTCCAGCTCCACAGCCACAAAGCAGGTTTTTCAAGTTTCCTGAACCAGAGAAGCAAGATTAAGGGGAAGAGTGGGAGAATGCAATTAATGACGGATGACTCCAAGTTCATTAGGTCTAATCCTCCCCCTCAAACAAACCCAAGCCCCATAAGCATCCCTGGATCTCAAAAGGGAATTTAAGCTACCTGGAAGCATGGGCGGTAACTGACTGCAGACTGGACAGGGCAGGGCAGCAGGGCACGAGTCTCTATGCAACAGTCCCCCAGCTGGAGGCCACAAGGGCCTGCAGGTTCTGCCAGAAGACTCAGACCCATGCTGGAGATGGAATAGCATGTCCCTCCCTCCCAAGCAACAGCAAACCAAAAAGCCAAAACCACAACCAAAAACAACAGGCAGTTTATAAGTTGTTTCTGACAAAAAGAACCCTGAACCAATCACTGGAAAAAAATTTCAGTGATGCTAATGACGGGTGTGGAAAGAGCTGGGAGAAACAATGCAACTCTAAGCTGCTGGGTTTGCCCATTCGGTTGGCCATGCTACAAGGCCAGGTACAGAGAAGAGTGGCGCTTCAGCTTCTGACAGGAAATGATTTCCTGATTCAGGGAGAGACGCGCATGCAGGCCGAGACGTTCGGCTGAGGGGTAACTCACCAGTTTGCTTCCCATCGGCTGGGATGGCCCAGTCATAGGCGTGCTTCAAGGACTTGTAACAGGAGAACTGCAGCCCAGCGTAGGGGAAGATGGCAATCAAGGTGGGGGCCAAGCCTTTGTAGAAGACCAGGGGTCCCTCAGTCCTGTACATGGTCACCACGGCGTCTTGCAGGGTCTTATAGACCTGGAAATGCACGCGAGCACCTTGGGTGAGCTCAGTGAGGTGGCGTTAGTCCTGGATCAGCCCACATACCTCTTTCCCCTCGTGTAAATACACAGCTAACAGTAGCATAACTTCTGCCAAGAGGACAGGCCAGGAAAACACGGGACAAAAATTTAAAGGGTGGAGCTTTCTGGAAGCTCTCCATTCTAGACACTTATGTGACTGCTAAGCTACGTGTGTGCATAAAAACATGTTTCCAAAGAGTCAGCACAGGCTGGTGAGGTGGTGCAGGGCTATAATCCCAGTGTGCTGCGAAGGTGAGGCTGGAGGATCACATGTTTGAGCCTCACCTGGGGAACTTAGTGCCTTAGTGAGACCCTGTCTCAAAAAAACAAAACAAAAAATACTGAGGCTACAGCTCAGTGGGAAGGCCTTTGACTCAATCCCCAATACTAAAAAAAAAAAAGTCACTAAAGTCACTATACCATCCTCAGAACATCAAAAGGTATAGTATGATGCTGGGCATACTGGCACATCCCTGTAATCCCAGCACTTGTGAGGCTGAGGCAGGAGGTTCACCATGAGTTTATGGCCAGCCTGGGCTACATAGCGAGTTCAAGGCTAGCATGAACTACATAGTAAGACCCTGTTTCGATCGACAAACAGACATTTGATTTTTGGGGAAGTGGTACTAGGGAATTGAACACAGAACCTCACAGTGAGGTATATTTCTAGCCCTTTTAGTTTTTTGTTGTTTGAGACAGGGTTTGACTACATTGACCAGGCTGGCTTTTTTTTTTTGTACCAGGAATCAAACCCAGGACCTTGTGCTTCCCAGGCAGGCACTTGTGCCACTGAGCTATACTCACAGCCCCAGGCTGGCTTTAAATTTGCAGTCCTCCAGTCTCAGCTTCCCAAGTACCTGGGATTACAGGCCTGCTCCACTGCAACCAGTATCATACAGACCAGCTTTATATTTGATTTGAAATGTTCTAAGAGGCTGTGACTTGGCCCAGCCAGAGTATGGTGAGATACCCAGCTGACAGCAGGCCCGAGAATGCTGGGGAAGTCCGAGAATGTTGGCAGTCACACTGAAGGACTTCATCCCGGGGACCTCTGTGACGGTACAGAGGTCCCTCAGTTGGTGAACTAAGTACCCCTGCACCAGGCTCTAAGGGGAAGCCATCAACAAGAGCAAAGATCCTGCCCAGAGCTCCCACTTTGCTTTTCTGTTTCTAAAGAAGAAATAAAAAGAGCAGACAGGTCATTTCAAATTTAGTTTCTTTGTAGGAGTTAGACAGGGAGACAGAACAGAACTGGTTAGGTTAACTTTTTTTGTGAAAAGATTAAGGCAGAAAGAACTTCATTATGGTGCCCGCTGAAACTGGCTGCTCTGAGAAATTGTGCCACTGTCTCTCTCATCCTGATTTTTTTTTTTTTTTTTTTTTGTCTTTTTGAGGCAGGGTCTCGCTATGCAGTTCAGGCTGGCCGTGAGCTCACTTTGTAGCTCAGGCTGGTCTGATTTCTTGGAAAGTGAGATAAACGGCTTCGTTTCAGCCAGCTGGGACCGCAGCTGTGTTACCACCCTCGGCCTCCATTTCACTTACGCGTCATCCTTGTCTCTCAGACTGTTCCCAGGGAACTCTGCCCTTCCCAACCGAAATATCACCAAGGTGTCCCAGTAAGAGGGTCTCCCCCACCCAGGATCTCCACCTTGATTAATGTAAAGAACTGCTAGAACTAAAGCCACAGTGATTCTTAAATTTATCCCAGTTGAAATTTCCAAATAAACTGCCTTCTCCTCCAACTGAAGCAAAAGAGAGACAGCGAGAAAAGCCTCCTTTCTTGGTTGAGAAAACGCACGCACGACGCTATTCGTAAGTGTGCCTAGGAAGCAGACGCTGCGGTGGAGTGTACCTTCTTACTCAGGAACTCCTTCCTTGAGTCTGACTCAGCTTCCCATTTCTTTCAACCTATTCTTTGTGGAGACCAAGGCCACTCCCATAGTAACACAGGCAGAGTTCCAGAGTCTCACTTTCCCGGATGCCTGTCTTCATCCAGCTCCACCACAGGGCACTTGCTTGTTCTGTTTTACATAGTAGCTTCTCTCTCCCCAGGGAGGCTGTCAGTGCTTTTGGGCAAGGACACAGCCCCCTGCACACTGCTGGCCATGGTTATGGGTCTGACCATCTGGCTGCTGCCTTCAGACCCAGGGCTCCTCCCAAGGACAGGAACCCCACCTCCTACACACCTTCCTTCTCTGCTCCCCTCCCCCAGTCTGGCCCTAACCACTCACCCTGGGCTCACCCTGAGCTGCAAAGCGAGTGCGCAGAACGTCCACAGGGTGTACAGCGAGGGTGGCCATGCAGGCAGACAGCCCGCCACACACAAAATGCGTTGAGAATTCGTGGGTCTCATACACATTGGCTCTGTGGACCAGCTCAGTCAGCAGTTGAAATGACAAAAACTGCAGGAGCAAATGAAGACGTCACCGATGGCCTGAGGGATGATGGCAGAGACCAAGTGCTTCCAACACACCACCTGCCCTCCTCCGGGTTCAGGAGGGAGAGCTAAAGAGACACTAGAGACAGTGACAAATACAAGAGCTACTTGTATAATTCTGTGCTGAACTCAGAACGCTCACCTTCAAGCAGAGAGAAAAGAAAAACGAAACAAAACAACTCAGATGCCCTTTTATATTTTACTTGAATAGTCTTACCAAAGAGTTAAAAAAAAAAAATCTGAGGGGCTGGGACTGTAGCTCAGTGGCAGAGCACTTGCCCAGCATGACTGAGGCCTTGGGTCATATCCCGAGCACCACAAACACAAAACAAAGTAAAACAAAAAACGAGGGGGGTGTGGTGGTAAATACCTATAATTTCAGAATTTTGGGAGGCTGAGGCAGAGGATTACAAATTCAATGAGGCTCTGTCTCAAAAAAAAAAAAAAAAAAAGCTGGTATAATCAGTACAAAGATCAAAGATCCCAGGTTCAGTTCCCAGTACTGAAGAAAAAAATCCAAAGTACAGCAATGCCTTGGTTCACAAATGCTTCTGCCCCCAAACAATGTGGTTCTCAAACAAAAGTGACAAAATTTTGCTTCCATTCACAAACTCCACATCAGTGACAAACACAACCATGGCCCTCTTCCCCACACAAACACAAATGCAGCCCTCTTCCCCGAAATTGTAAAACAAATTAAGTTTGTGAACCGAGGCACCACTGTATATGGACAGGGAGGGTAAGGCAACTGGAGTTCAAGGCCAGCCTGGGCTACACACCGAGATCATGTCTCAAAAAGCCACAGAGGGATAGAGAGGGATGTGGGGAGGACTTGTGTAGCTCTGTGGTAGAGCACTTACCTAGCACATAAAAGGCTCTGGTACTGCAAAAATAAACACACACATACACACAGAAATAGGCCAAAGCATATGGAGAGGACTCTGCTGGTTCACTTAATTTTGTGAGTACAAGGGAGAGATGACCACTGCCTGATTGGAGGCAGGGAACCTTCAGCACAGCTGGGGTGGTGCTGTTCGAGAATCGCTCCCACCGAGAGGAGACTGTGGCGAGCAAGATCCCGGGCATAACCCCTCACTCAGATGCTCCCCCGCCACCTGTGGACACCTCGGCATTTATGTACCCTACTGTGTGCCAGACAGGGAGCTGGGAAGGTAGGGGTGTCACATCTGTGGTGGGAAGAGCGCCAGGGATGTGTGGGCAGGGATGTGCTTCTCCCTCTACCACTTTTATTTTTACTTTTTGTGGTGCTGGGGCTCAAACCAGAGTCCTACACAGCTTACCCTGGGTCTTCCTCATGGTCTACCATTGAGCTCCCCTGCCACTTTCTCACTAGTACTTCAGTTGGGCTGATAGACGTAAGCTTGCTTTCCTTTTTTGAGACAGGGTCTTGCCATGAAGTACAGGTGGGCCTTGAACTTACTATGTAGACTAGGTTGGCCTCAAACTTGCATGATCTTCCTGTCTCGGCCTCCTCAGTGCTGGGGACATAAGTTTTCTGTGCCTCAGTCTTAGCTGAAAATTCAGAGTGACAAAAGGACTAAACTCACAGGACTGCTGTGAGACAGTGTATGGAAAGAGCTTAGCCCAGAGGCTAGGCCCACAGGGTGAAAGCAGCCATTACCAGCACCACCGTCAGGCAACTGCATGCGCTGTGCCCTCCCAGCAGGAAGGAGCGACAAGGAGCAAGAAGCCATGAAAAGCGCTGGTACTGCCCTCTGCCAACCTCAGAGGGACAGGGTGTCAAACCAGTCTCCTAGGTGCAACCTAAGTCACTGGGACGCCAAGATGGGATAAAGAAGAAGGAAAGGGCTGGGGATATAGCTCAGTGGCATGGCGCCTGCCTAGCAAGTGCAAGGTCGTGAGTTCGATTCCCAGTACCAAAAAAAAAAAAAAAGAAAAACAGAAAAACAAAAACACTTAGAAAGAAGGAGGAAAGGTTCAAGGTACAGCTGAGTCTGTGGGCAGGCAGTTCCCCGCTAAGCCAAGTGGGAAGCCTGGGATGCCTCTCTCTGCAACCCCAGCAGCATTCCCGCCGTATTCCCCTCCCTCTGCCCCTCCACTGAGCAGCATGAGCCAGGGCCTGGCCAGGACCCTTGCCACTTACCTGGACAGCGCCATAGCCTATGGAGAGAAGCTGTGCTGGAATGTGACCTTTCCAGAATGCTGTCAGGCCCTCCTCTTGCAAGATCCGCTTGTAGGCCTGAAGGATCCCATGATACTTAGCTTTTGGGTCACGGTGAGACAGACGCTCGATCTGGAGCTGGGGACCAAAATCAAAAAAGTCAGGATGGTGTCAGATGGGGTGGAGTGAAAAGGGAAAATTTCAGAAAAGGTGATGAAGGTGGCAAGGTACTTCACTTTGACAAAATTCCAAGCTATAGGAGCTGCTTTGGCAAGAAGGACTGAACTTGGCATCCAGCCTATTACAGAGAAAAAGGGGAAAAGGTACCTGGAAACGGATCTTGATGACATCCAAGGGACTGATCAGCACGCGCGTAACAAGTCCAGACACAGACCCTGCCACCGCCACCTCAAACTTGGAGTTATTCCTGTCATCTGCTTTCGGGTCGTAGCCGACCATCCCTGCCCCTGGCCCGTCCAATGTCCATCAGTGTCAAGCTAAACGCAAGAGAAGAGAGTGACCACAAAGGCAAGTTTACAGGGTCTCTGCTCAAACATCACCTCCGCACGGCAGCCCTCTATGCGGCCCAGTCTGTCTAAAACAGCCCCCGCGACCTTTGTTTGGTTGTGATGTTGATTGTGTGCAGTTGTTTCTCGAACGCAAGCCCCAGGAAGCACGGCCTTGGCCTTGCTCAACTGCATGTCCAGTGCTGGAGAACAGCTCATGCTAGTAAGCGCTCAGTATCTGGGGACTGAATGAACAGACTTCATGGGAAATCTTTCACTCCGGTGATGACTGGCTTTCCAAGGATTTCTGGCAACTTTATGGCAAGCTCTGGCTTAGTGCAAAGTGTCAGCCCAATTAAGTGAACCCCGAGGGGGACTATCAGACACGTGGGGCCAGAGAGCAGGGCTTGGGATTCCCTAACAAGCCCCCGCTATACAAAGGAAGATCCCAGTGGGCCTGTGCACCTTCGCCTTTCTCTTCCCCAGTCTTTGCACGTGCCTCAGGCCCGGTCTGGCATGGTGGGGCTAAGTGATGGAATGATGCCGCCACGTCCCCCCTGGGCCAGCCCCTGCTGACAGCATCAGCCTCACTTTGGCCTACCCTCCCCTGCCCTCACTTAATTGGTGTGGTCTCAGTACTTCTGGCCAGAGCCTAGGAAACACTGTGGGCATTCCTAGCTACCACCCTTGCCTCTGCCCAGCCCACCCTCCTCTCTTCTAAGGCCAATTCCTCTCTTCCACGGGAGCTTAGCTGCAGAGCGCCCTACTGGAGATGTGTGTATTTCTCTCCTCTAGCATTCCCAGCACGAATTAATGTGTATTCTGTTCCCTACGCCCATGGCAAAGGGGCTCCAAATAGGCAGGGAGGGACTCGGTCACCTACCTATGGCTCAAAGATCAGCAGAGTTTTCACAGCAAAGGCTTAGAAAATGGTTAATGAATAAATGGTTAGAAACCAAATAGTTTTCATATTATAGAAATATTGATAACCTTACAGAAAGTTTAGAAGAATAAAAAAAACTCCTACCATCTTTATTTTATTTTTGTGGTCTCCAGGGCCTTTGTACTGAGCCACATCCCTTGCCCTTTTAAAATTTTTTATTGTGAGACATGGTCTACCTACATTGGCCAGGTTGGGTTCAAACCTGCAATTCTTCTGTCTCAGCCTCCCACAGTACTGGGATTATAAGTGTGTACCACCATGCCTGGCTTTTTTCCCTGGTACCAGGATTTGAATCCAGGGCCTTAAGGCATGCAAGGCAAATACTCTACCACTGTACACACCCAGCCCTTTGTTTTTATTTTGATTGATACAGGGTCTTGTCCAGGCTGGCCTCAAATTTGTGAACCTTCTGCGTCAGCCTCCCAAATAGCTGGGATTACAGCCATCCACTAGCACACCCAGCAGAACCCTACCTTTTTTTTTTTTTTGTCTTTTTCAGGCAGGGTCTCGCTATGTAGTTCAGGCTGGCCTTGAGCTCACTTTGTAGGTCAGGTTGGTCTCGAACTTGCAATGATCCTCCTGCCTCAGCCTCCCAAGTGCTGGGATTACAGGTATGCCCCACCATGTCCGGCTAAAACCCTACCATTTTAACACTTTTTATGTCACGTATTCCTTTTTGGGTCCTTTCTTTGTATCCTGTCTTTTGAAATGCAAAATGTCATAATTTTTTTTCTTTTCTTGGTTTTTGAGACAGGGATTTGCTATGTAGTTAAGGTGGCCTTGGACTCAATATGTAGCCCAGGCTGGACTCAAGCTTGTAGTGATCCTCCTTCCTCAGCCTTTCCAGTGCTGGGAAAATGTTTTCCTGCTATTACAAGATCTTTGTCATATGCCTGTAATGCTAGCACTTTGGAAGGCAGAGGCAGGATAATCCCAAATCCAATAATAGCCTGGGCAACTTAGCAAGACCCTATTAAAATAAAAGTAACAGACTGGGTTTGGTAGTACACATCTGTAATTCCAGCCCTCAGGAAGCTGAAGCAGGATTGCTGTGAGTTCAAGGCCAGCCTGGGCTACACAGTGAGTACAAGGCCAGCCTACACAGTGAGTACAAGGCCAGCCTAAACAGCGAGACCTTATCTCAGAGAACCAAAACCAAAACCAAAACCTTCTCGATATCACCAAAATTTCACTTGGTCCAGAATCACATATCTGGAGGAATACTCACATAGGAGTATAAAATGTTTGCATTGCATCACTGTAAATCTGGCTATTTCACTAATGCTATCAAGAAAGTGATAGAGCCAGGTATAGTGGTGCAAGTCTGTAATTCCAGCACTTGGAATGCAGAGGTGAGAAAACTGTAAGTCTAAGTTCTGACTGGGAATCTTAGAAAGACACTGCCTCAAAATAAAAAACAGAGAGAGCATGAGAGAGCACCAGACGTGGCAGAACATGCTTGTAATCCTAGGATTGTAAGTTAAAGGCCAGCCTAGGCTACACAGCAAGACCTTGTCAAAAAAGGAAGGACAGACAGGGTTGGGAATGTAGCTCAGTGATGGAGCACTTCCCTAGCATGTGGGAGGTTCTGGGCTCCATCACCATCAGTGGAAAAATATTGGACTTTTGCAGACTGAGGCAGAAGGATCCCAAGTTTGAGGCCAACCTCGACAACTCAGTGACTTAGGGAGGCCCTGTCACAAAATAAAAAAAATTAAGTGTGGGGGACGGGACTGGGGATGTAGCACAGTGCAAAGGCCCTAGGTTCAATCCTTACTGCCAGGAGAGAAAAGCAATGAAATACTATGCAGCTGGGCTGGGGTGTGTAACACAGTAATAGAGTGCTTGCCTAACATTTACTAGGCCCTGGGTTTGATTCCTGTATTATGAGGGGGGGAAAAAACCACATACACACAATGGGATACTGTGCAGCCCCTACATAAAAATGAGCCAGAGATACACAGACTCCCTTGGAAAAATGTCCATCATAGATCAAACACCGAAAAAACAGTTTCAGAACAGTATGCTTAGTATAATTATCTTTTTATAAAAGAAAAACAGTAACCTACATGTGCTCCATATAGCTACGAAAAGCACTGAAACAAAGTCTGTGAGAACACACCAACAGGTAGTTGATAAGTTGCCACTGTGGAAAAGAAAGAGGAGAAGTAAGGTAGCTCTCTCTCTTTATGCTATATATATATATATATATATTAAAACTTTAGATATGTGTATTTTATTTTTATCAATTAAATTTCATTAAAATTAAAGTAAATTTAATTAAACATTAAAATGACAACAAAAACTGGTAATTAACATTTACTAAAATTGAAAACTTCAGATGGGTGTGGTGGTGCACCCCTATAATCCCAGCACTTGGGAGGTTGAGGCAGGAGAATCACCATGAGTTTGAGGCCAGCCTGGGCTACACTGTGAGTTTAGGGACAGTATGAATGACACAGTGAGACCCTGTCTCAAAAAACAAACAAAATAAAACAAAATTGAAAACTTCTATTCTCACAAGTTACAATGAAAAATGAAAGTCCACAAAATTGGAAAACAGTTTTGTAATATTTATCTAACAAAGAATTTACATTCCACATATGTAAAGAACTCATACAACTCAGTAAGAAAAATAAAAATAAGCTAATTTTTATTAGCTTAAGGAAAAAAAATAAGCTTTTTTTTTAAAAAATAAGCTAACTTTTGAAATGGGTAAATGATTTTGATGGATATTTCACAAAAGAAAACTATGAGAAGATAAAAAACACAATCAGTATCAACATCGTTCATCATAGAGAAATGAAAGCTGAACATGTTCCCATCAGCTTGAACCACTGTACATGTATGACTGTCCCACTGGGCGGTGTGGGACAAAGACAGTCTGAGCCACCCTGTGGGACAGTCCTTTAACCCACCAGTGGTACAAGCCACTTGATGGGAGAGTCATGCATGTATGGCCCTGTTGTGAACACATTAACCACAATTATACCACAGCAAATCTAGAATGACTAAAATATAAAAGATTTAGCAAACCATGTGTTAGCCAGGATGTGAAATATTTTTACTTATTTATTTTTTGTTTGTCTGTTTTGTAGCAGAAGATATCCCCCGGCAGCCAGCATACTTTAGTCTGTTAGTTGCCAACATAATAGTTCTGGTTATGCTTCCTGTTACTTTTGTTTCTTAGAAACAGCCGATCAGGGGCTGGGGATTTAGCTCAGCGGCAAAAGCGCCTGCCTGGCAAGCGCAAGGTCGTGAGTTCGGTTCCCGGTACCGGAGAAAAACCAAAAA